ATGATGAAATTTGGAAGTGGATTGAAGTAATTTTGTAAGGATTTTGGCTAGATTTTTCTTCCCTTTTCTTCTTCCTATTTTCGGCCAAACAGAGGGAGTGAAGAGAGGCGAGAGAGTAAAATTAGATTTTGTAACGAAAGTGGAGAGAATTGGTGACTTAATGGTTAAGTCTAAGTGTCAACTCATGCTAGGTCCGTTTAGGGTTTTCGCGTGTCCAATTTTCGCGCTCGTTTGCAACTTTTGTGCACTAAACCTCTGAGGTAATTTCCCTAGTACATTAATAGTACATTACTAGTAGTCTAATATCATGTTCTTAAAATCTCCAATTAATCAAATTAATGTGCCTATCGGGGCCTTTTAGGCACGCGCGCGTATAAAGGTCAAACTTAAGGGTTTTCTCGTTTGAACTTGGAAATTCGACTTATTCGATTCTAAAACTCTAAAATATGATAATCCAAGTATATATATATATATATATATATATATATATATATATATATATATATATATATATATATATAAAAAAATCACGATAAGCAATTCATCTTGAATAAATTTGGGCATTAAAATAATATGCGCGTAAAGTACCAATCGGTAAAATTTATTTTCGAGAAATTCATGTACTTTAGTTTTTTTTTTTTGGGTAACTCGAGTACGAAATATTTTTAAAATGACCAATTTAACAATATTTTGAAATAATAAAATTATGGGTCACAATTTCTCCTTTTCTTCATTATTAATAAATTTGGGTGGAAACCCTTAAAAAAAGTAAAAATGAAATTCGTGGGAGAAAGATCATGATGGTAGAGAAAAAAATATTAAGTAGAGAGAAGTCAGAGAAGAGAAAAAGTAGAACGCTTTTTCTTTTTCTTTTTAAGTAGTTGATTGTTGCATGGATGTTCGTTGGATTCAAAGCGATTAATATCAATTTAGAATATATTAAAGTTCCAAAACATAATTTTGTTAATTTTTGAAATTTGGTGTTTCTATAGATCTTTATATTTTCCATTTTTATGGTGTATTTAATGCATTTTCTATCATTAATGCATATCTCATGAATGAAATTATGATCTTATATAGAAAAAATCATTCTAGTTAACATGACAAACTTCTTAAATAGTAGTTATGTTCTAAATGTATTTCATACTTTCTTTTAATTCTTCATCTATTTTTAGTCTCAAATTACACTTGAATGATCAAAACTGTCCATTTTACATACTTTAGTCTATATTTGAATTGTTTGAGCAAATGATAAGGATAACAATTTAGCTAAGTGCCCAAAATTATATTAAACTTGTGGCAAATGGGATGTGCACATTAAAAAATAATTATATTTATAATAAAAGAGTAGAAATAGTTAGAAATCTAATTTTAAAAATTTGAAAATTTAAAATAAAAATAGAAGAAGTTATTGAAATTTAATAGCTACGAACAATTTGTTTGGGGTGGTTATAGGTGGCAAACAAATCTAGGGGTGAGCAAATTTGGTACGTACCGGATTCATACCCGAATTCAAATTCAATTTGGTAATTTGAAATCGGGTATTTGGTAATTTGGTACAAAAGCGGTATTTACCGAATTTACCAAATTCTAATATGGTATGAAATTGGTAATAAGATTATAAATTTGATAATAACCGATTTCGAATTCAAATTTGGTAAAATGAAATAGGGTACCATATTATCGCATTCGAATATCAAATTAGTTTATAAAATTATATAATATCTAGATAAATGCCATTTAGTATTAGTATATACTACTAATATATTATTATATCATATAGGTAAATGCTATTAATAATAGTTACTATATGATATTATCATGTATTTATGATAATAAAATATATAATGATGTACAATATACTATTTTAGTATTTGTTAATTGTTATATGATTATAATAATACAAATATACAACAATACATAACATAACTTTAATACTTATTATTTTATACATGACTTGAATTAGATAATAATTAATAAGTAGAGGTATAATACTAAATATTAAACAATAAACATAATTAGTAATTAGAATTTAGATATTGGTAATTTGGAATATCATTCATGTTTGAATTATTGATATTTGAATGCGTAACTTGTAATTTGCAAGTATTAGTGTACTCTAAAATTACATTACATATTTAACATAAAAATTCATATTCTCTATTAACTAATCTTAAGGTTTTAAGCATAGACAAGACAACCAAGCAGTCTAAGTGAATACATATGAATTGCAAATCAATGTATTAGTGTATTGGCTTTCACTATTAAAAGCAACTTGGTGTTGTAGCCTGTAAGTTTGTAATTAGATTGATTATAATAGCAGCGTAGCTATTAAACTTGATAACAGGGTTTAATTAGGCTGGAAATTGCAATTAAAGGATTGAAATTCATAAATTTTTGCATATGGGTATAAATGGGTAACCCGTCAAACCCAATTAACCAACTTAGAATTGTCTTCCCCCATGCTTCCTCTCTTCACCCACCCAATTTTTTTTTAGATTTTTCATTTTGTCGTGATGTTAATTACTTTTGTTTCATTTTTATTATTATTTGTTGGTTTTATCTTATCATTTTATTTTCTCTTAGTTTGTTAACTTGCTCATTTTTTAGCATTACCAATTTATAACAAGTTTTATCCTCTTTTCCTATCTTTCTAAAATGAAATTTTAAATTTACACACGAAAAAATGCTAGGGGTTCAAAATTTTTGAATTAAGTTTTTATATTAACTTTTTTTTGAGTTTTTATGTTAACTTTTATAGTACTTAGTTCAAATTTTTATATTCTTATTGTTCAATTATTAAATAGTATGTAATTTTATGACATAGAGTAGGAATGGAAAAAAATTGGTAATTAGGCTTATTAAGCATTATAAGTAAATGTTTAAAACTAATGATAGGTGCAAAGGGTGGTATAAATTGATAACTTAGTTTGTAAAAATGAGTTTAAATGAGTTTACAAAAAATTAAAATAAATGAGTTATAAATGGATAATTGGGTTACCCAATTCATTTTTTGACTTACCCATTTATATCATCTAATTAAATGGGTATAAATGAGTTGATTCACTTATATCTATTACCCATTTTAACCAACTTAAACCCACCCAAATCATCCATTTTAACACCTCTAGTGGTGGTTAAGTGCAGTTTCTTACTTATATGAGGATCAAATTGGTATAACAAAAAATGACAACAAATTTTAACACCAAAAATCATGCCTCATGCTTTACATATAGAAAGATATTCAAAATCAGAGTACTCACCCTCAATTATAGAATAAAACTATAAAAATATTTCTGATCATGCATCCTTTACACCAAAATGATTCACTCACCGAGTATATCATAATTGCAACAATTTGTATGACTCGCATCCTTTAGAGGCAATTATGACTCATATGATTGATTCTAAAGTGATTGATATTCTAATTAATTGATTGACATTTTGTCAATAATTAATTAGCATCTCCCATTTGATAATGATTGGTGATTGATATCCTGATTAATTGATTGACATTTTATCAATAATTAATTAGTATCTTTGATTTGTTAATGATTGATTGGTATCTTTTGTTAATTGATATCTTATTCAATTAGTAAATCAATCAAATGATCAATTAGTCAGAAAATGTTATTTCAATTATAAATTTTGGCAAGATTTCCTTGATGGAAGGAAACCCAAGGGATTTTTGTATTTTCCAGTAAGGGTCCCTAGCCTAACCTATAAATAACATGTGGTATTACATCAATTGTACACTTTTGGTTTGGTATAGGTTAGAAGATCCTTGCTCTAAATTCTCCTACTTTTTTTCTTCTACACATTTACATAGTTTCTTTGTTAATATAGACAAGAAGAAGGCAAGAAGACAAGGAGCTGTAAGGACTAATCTTTGTTCAACAACAATGGTTGGAGGTAAATCATTTAAATTTTCACTGCTTTGTACAACTCATTTGTACTTATTTGGTTTAACATGTGGTATCAGAGCCACCCTCTAGCCATGTTGTTTAACATATAACTTCATGGTTTGTTGGCAATATGAGAAAAGCTACATAGATTCATTGAATGTTAAATGAATCAAATCCAATTTGTCATGGGATCTAAGTATCCATTATCTCAATTATTGAGAATTAATGGCTAATCCCATGTGTATGTATCATTCTTGTGATGATTTATTTGGTCATGCAAGTATCTATCATACTTATATCATTAGTATGATATTTGATCTTCATTTGGTTATACTTGTATATGACAATATAACTAATTATATCTTACATGAATTATGGTTAGTATACTTATGCCTTTTGATTTTGCATCATGTATACTAAAATATCATAAAAGGTTAAACTTTGCTTTTGGGGCATTTTATGAATTCTATTTAAATAACTTCATCCCTCTTGAAATTGTGATTAAAAATTGGCATCAGCAGTTTGTTTGTTTGCTACACCTTTGCCTAATTATTTAAAAATATAAATTGTGACATCTTTCAACCTTTCTCTTTTATCACCTATGTAGATGTTATCATAAAGATTTTTGTATCTTATATTTAAAAGTGGCCACAGCATCTTAGATACTAGATGCTTAGAATTTTAATCACATAAGTGTCTAATGATTAAATGAATAATGTATAATTAAGTAAGCAATTAACTTGTTACAATTATCACTTGGTCCACAGGAAAATGGTAGTTTTAATAAGATTAGTTGAACTAAGACAATAAATTTAACATTGTGTTAAGAGATTTTCCTAGGCCCACAGGTATGGAAAATTTCTATTTTTATAGTTTTAATTCACCAATCTTGTTATAAGGAAAGTAAAGTCAATGCATGTTTGGCAACCTCTACCCACAAGAAGATTTGAATTAACATTGGTTAATTCAATCCTTATGTCTTAAATTTCATAGCAATAATTTATATTTATTCTTGGATATTGCAGTTTTTTCTACCACTACTCTTTTTAATGATTCATCTCATATTCCAATGCTATTTGGTAAAAACTACACTGAATGGAAGGACAAGATTCTTCTGACTTAAGGTGTCGGGATCTTGATTTGGCACTTCATGAGAATGAACCACCCATTCCCATGGATTCTAGTTTGTCAAATGAAAAGGCTGCTTATGAGCGGTGGGAGCGATCTAATCACTTAAATTTGAAGCTCATTAAGTCACATAACAATCAAAGCATTAAGGGTTCAATCCCTGATTGTGACCCAGTCAAAGCTTACATGAAAGCAATTGATGAACAATTTGTAAGCTCTGACAAGGTTTTGGCTAGCAGTCTTATGAAGAAATTTGCACGCATGACATTTGACAAAAGTGGGAGTGTGCGTGAGCACATTATGGAAATGAAGGATATTGCTGCTAAACTAAAGTCCCTTAAAGTTGAGATTTCTGTGTCATTTCTTGTGCATTTCATTCTCAACTCTCTCCCATTGAAATATACTCTGTTTAAGATCTCTTATAACACACATAAAGAAGAATGGTCAATTAATGAACTCTTGATTGATACGAATTCCGTTGATGATGAAATTCGTGACAACAAATTCCGAATCGATGGCGATTGTTATAGGTTTGGAAATGGCTGAATTTCCTCCTCTGAACCTCTCTAATCCCTGCGATTGGAATTTCGATACTATCTTGATCCTTAATCTTACAAATTAGCAAACCCTAGGAATTGTTAGAAAGCGCTACAATCAAGGATGATCTTCTTGGTTGATAAATTGAACGAATACTAGAGAATTCTAGATGTTCAAGGATAGCTCGTGGAGCCAACAGAGCAGTCTCTCAGAAAGGTTTTGTGAAAATATCGTAATCTGTTATTCATGCATGATGAACGATGTTATATGTTTCTTGATACAATGCATAACCAAACTGGACTAGTAATGACACAACTAATTAGACCTTGACAGTCGGCCCAAAGCCCTAACAACTACCCACAAATCCAATCTCAAGGTTGGACCGTTTTATTTAGCTATGAATTCAAGCCCAAATGCAACGAATTAAAGTATGCCTAGTTACATACTAAACTTGGCCTACAACATTCATCTTCAACCTTGAATTGGAGCAAATTAACAAGACTTGAACCTATGCTTGGCGCTCCAATTGAATCTTGGACTACTCGAACCATGGCTTGTAATAACTCGTTGAAGTGCTTGGCTCGAGCTAGCGTAGTCAGACTCTTCGGAACTATCACGAACCCGACTTGAGTGCTAGGATCAACTTGAACAGTCTTGGATATTCTATTAGTCCCCTCCTCTTGAAAAGGATTTGTGCTCAAATTGGCCTCATCGCCTGCAAGAAAAGGGCTTAAGTCAGATGCATTGAAGGTTCACTCTGTACTCATCTGATAACTCGAGTTCGTAGGCATTAGCGTTGATGTGTTCGAGTACTTGGAATGGTCCTTCTCCACGTGGTAGCAACTTATTGCGACACTGGACTGGAAAAAATTCCTTTCTGAGGTGAAGCCAAACCCAGTCACCTGATTTGAACACCACATGCTTGCACCCGTTGTTGGCCTATGTAGCATACTGCATCGTCCACTTCTCGATGTTTGCTCGCACTTTCTCATGGAGCTGGTGGACATACTCTATCTTTTCTTACCATTTAAGTTCACTTGCTCAGAAATAGGTAAAGGCACTAAATACAAAGGCTTTAGTGGATTAAAACCATAAATTATCTCAAATGGCGAATATTGTGTAACAAAATGACCAATTCGATTATATGCAAATTCGACATGAGGTAAACACTCTTCCCACGCCCTAAGATTCTTATGCAATATGGCACACAACAAGGTAGAGAGAGTCCTATTAACTACTTCTGTTTGATCATCAGTTTGTGGGTGACCAGTTGTTGAAAATAACAACTTAGTGCTTAACTTAGATCACAAGGTCTTCTAAAAATAGCTAACGAACTTAATGTCCCTATCAGACATTATGGATCTAAGAACACCATGCAATCTTACTGTCTTTTTGAAGAACAAATTAGCTATATGAGATGTATTATCAGTCTTATGACAAGCAATGAAATGCATCATTTTAGAAACTCTATTGACGACAACATAGATGGAATTATTGTCCCTCCTAGACCTAGGCAATCCTAATATGAAATCTATAGAAAGATCTACCCATGGCTCCTTAGGTATAGGTAAAGGAGTGTAAATATCATGTGGATGTACCATAGATTTAGTTTGTCGGCATGTGATACACTTGTTAACAAACCGCTTCACATCTTACTTCATACGCAGCCAATAGAAGTGTTCTTGCAAAATAGAATAAGTCTTAGATATCTCAAAATGTACCATTAATTTTTCATCATGTGATTTCTGTAACAACAATTTACGGATCAAACAGATGGGAATGCATAACTTATCAACATAATAAAGGTATCCATCAGAAATGAAAAACTTACTCTTATGAGATATTCTACAAGACTCATAAATCACCCCAAATTCTGTCATTCTGATATAAGTCCTTAATAAACTCAAACTATAGTATCTTAGTATCTAAAGTGGTGATTTGGGTGTACCTACGCGATAGTGCATCAGCAACAATATTTGTCTTACTAGACTTGTATTTGATGACATATGGGGATGATTCAATAAAGGCGATCCATCGAACATGCTTCTTGGTCAGCTTGTGTTGCGCCTTTAGATATTTCAGAGACTCATGATTAGGGTGAATTACGAATTCCTTGGACTACAAGTAATGCTGCCACATCTCTAATGTTTGAATCAGGGCGTACAACTCCTTATTATATGTTGAGTAACTGAGTGCTATCCCACTAAAATTCTCACTAAAATAGGTGATCAGCTTCCCTACTTACATCAATATAGCACCAACTCCAATACCTGAGGCATCACATTCAATTTCAAAAATTTTGTTGAAATCAGGTAAAGTCAAAACAGGTGTGTGTGTGAGTTTGTGCTTAAGGGTTTGGAATGCCTGTTCTTGAACTTCTCCCTAGATGAATCTCTAATTCTTCTTGACAACTGTAGTCAATGATACGGCCAAAATGCTAAAATCTTTCACAAATCGCTAATAGAAATTCGCAAGTCCATGGAAGCTTTGAACCTCACTCACGGATGTAGGTGTTGGCCAGTCTTATATGGCCTGGATCTTGCTTTCATCCACCTATATACCTTGTGCACTAACTGTAAAAAGATAGAAATATAAGTTTATTAGTACAAAAGGTGCACTTTTTAAGATTGACATATAGCTTCTATCGTTGAAATACATAAAAAACAGACCTCAAGTGCTCCAAGTGTTCATCTAAATTATGACTGTAGACAAGGATATCATCAAAATACACTGCAACAAATTTTCCTAAGAGTGGATGTAGTATATGATTCATTAAGTGCATGAAAGTACAAGGTATGTTAATCAACCCAAAATGTATAACTAACCACTCATACAACCCATACTTGGTTTTAAATGTAGTTTTCTATTCATCTTCTTCCTTTATCTTAATTTGATGATAACCATTTTTTAAATCTATCTTAGTGAACACAATTGCACCATGCAGTGTATCTAATATGTCGTCTAACCTAGGAATAGGGTGATGATACTTTTTCATTATGGCATTGATTGCTCGACAGTCGGTGCACATTCTCCATGACTTATCTTTCTTCACCACTAGAATGATTGGCACTGCACACGGACTCAAGTTTTCCCTCACCCAATCTTTGGTCAGCAACTCATTGACTTGGTGTTCAAGCTCCTTTGTGTCTTCAAGATTGCTCTTGTAGGCTGGTCGGTTAGGAGTGGCTGCTCTAGGGATGAAGTCAAATTGATGTTTGATTCCTCTGACAAGTGGCAATCCACTTGGTATCTCTTGGAGGAAGATATCGTCGAACTCTTGCAAAAGAGATACTACCTCTCTCGACAAAAGTTGGATCTAGCTCATTAGTAGACAATAAAATCTCTTTACTAAAAAGTACAAGGAAACACTGCTTTGCATTTGGAGCTCTTTTTCACTATCTTGGTTTTCACAAAAAAACTTGATTTCTTTCCTAATTTTCCTATTTTGGCCAAATCCCCTTTGTGATTTTTAGACTCACTAACTTCAGCCTTAGTTAATGATTTTTTTCTCTCACTTTCCTTTTGAAACTCTCTTTGTAAGCTAAGTTAATCCTCATGTACTTGCTTAAGAGTAAGAGGAACAAATATGACTTTCCTACGCCTGTGTGTGAAGGTGTATTTGTTATTAACCCCATTAAAAGAAATTTTTCTATGATATTACCAGGGTCTACCAAGTATAATATGACTAGCATGAATAGGCACTACATCACATAGAATCTCATCCTTGTATCTACCAATCTTAAATGAAACAAGCAACTATTTGGAGACATGAATCTCACTATTACTATTGAGCCAATGTAGCATGTAGTTTTGCGGGTGGTCTGAGGTAGCGAGCTCCAACTTCTTGATCATTAGTGTGCTCGCCACGTTAATACTGCTCCCTTCGTTGATTATCAAGCTAAACACGTTATCTTTGATTAGATATCGTGTATAGAAGATATTGTCGCATTGTGCCTCGTTGTCCTTGAATTGGGTGGTGAACACTCTCCAGACAACAGGTCCTAACCCGACTTGGTCATCGATGATGTACTCTTCCCTCGATTTTTCCTCCTTATCTATAAGTGGTAGCATACCCTTATACTCAGCTTCATCGTTTGACACTATCTCACCATTAGGGAGCATATTCATTGCCTATTGGTTGGGACATTGACTAGTTATGTGTCCCCATCCCTGATACTTGAAACATCTAATGCCTTGACTTCTTCTCTTTGGTGGCTCTGAAGACACTTTAGGGGTTGCTTTAGTGTCTTGGTTGGGTGGCTCTATCTTCGGCCTTTGGGTAAATGGCTTGATCGTCTACTTAGGATCAGTAAAATCTCTCCTGGGTTAGCTCTGCCTGGAAGGTGGGGTCGAGTATGTGTAGCTCGTTCATTGTGGTTGACCCCTTTTTTTGAGTCTCTACTCAGTCTTCACTGCCTTGTCAACCATCTCCCCAATATCCATGTATGGTTGTAGCTCAAGTCGCTCGACTATGTCGAATTGTAGTCCATTGAGAAACCAAGTCATGGTGGCTTCACAGTCCTCTTGACCATCTGCTCTCAACATTGTGACCTCCATCTCCTTGTAGTCCTCCGTGGGATAAGGTCTGCAACTTCTGATACAAGTCGCTGTAGTAGTAGCTCAAGACAAATCTCTTCCTCATAATTGCTCGAAACTCGGCCCAAGTAGTGATGACGGGTTCTCCACTCCTAACTAGTCCCACCAAACAATTGCATAATCAATAAATTCGATTACTGCAAGTTTGGTCTTCTGCTCCTTGATGTAGTTGAGACATTTGAAGATCATTTTTGCCTTTCACTCCCACTCGAGGTATGCCTCGGGATCCAACCTCCCTTGAAACACCGGAATCTTCATTTTGGTCCCTTTTATAGGATCACTTCCTTCATTGGTCTTGACTTTTGTTTAGACCTTTCGTTATTAGAGCTTTCGAATTCTCCAACTTTACTCTTGTCTAGTCGCCCCTTAGATGGCATTTGAGACAACTCCATGCAATCCATTCTTTTATGCAA